CGATGCCCGGTTGTTCAGACGTGCTTTAGGCCATACGGCTCAGGGTTGGGGGTTTGCTGTGTACAAGGGTCGGGGTAGTTTCGGGATTCGGGTTCAACGTCGAGCTCGACACGGACTGCGGCAATCAAGAAGGCTTGGGACAGACAGATTTGTCTTGCCTTGACCCGTTCGGCATGCGGCCGAATCATCGTCTGTCTGGAGTCGCAACCACAATGAAGCGGTTGCATTGGCAGCACCAGAGATCGTCGAACTTTTCCACGAGCTGTGGAACATCCGAAACGATCGGGACACAGCCATGGCAGGAGTCCGCCATCTGAAAGACGGCCGAAGGATTGGGAAGACCGCCGTATCTTTCTCTTGGACCTGGGCCAGGTCTCCGCCTTTTCGGCCGAAACCTGAGCGACCTGCACTGGCCCTGAAGCAGCCATCCGTTGCCAACCCGGCACCGAAGAGAACAGGCACTGCCTGCTGAGAGGGCTGGCCCCAAGCAACCCGTCCCGAGCCCGAATCATGGCCTTGTTTCCAGCCTTAGGTCCTCAGCCTCGTTTGGTAGCCATGTCCCAAGTTTCCTTGGCACAAGGGGAGCCCCCTACGATAAATCCGACCGAGTCTTACTAAGGCCTGCAATAAATTGTTCTGGATGAAAACACAACCTGGCAAAATGCTCTGTAAGATCTCGTCCCCAATGTCGACCAACTTCACCATAACCAGGCTCAATTTTTGCCCACTACTATTGAGGGACGAGCGTACTGTAATAGCATAGTAGCAGACATTGACTAGTGTTAAGACCGGGGGTCCTAGGCATTTAAGACCGGGGGTCGTAGGCATTGAGGACTAGCTTCCACCCCGCTCTGAAGTGGCAGGTCAAACTTTACGGTTTGGGCCTAGAGCGGTTGGTGTTTTCGGGCTTTGTGGGTTTAGGCCTCGGGGTTGCAGTGCCCGGGGCTGACTGTTCACGGGTTTGAGATTTAGGGGCTCAGGGATTTACCGTCTTGGGAGTCACGGTAGGCTGTCATAGGGCCATCAGTGTTAGGTCCGGGCTTATTTTGGGGTTAGGTGTAGCCTCACGGAACATGGCCCCTCCAGGTCCATGAACTTGGCAGTTGCGGGTTTAAAGACGAAGACCGGTCTACTAGTATGTTGTCTGTAGTCGCAGGGCTTTGGACTCCAGGAGTGGCCTAGCGGTATTGGGTCTCAGGGCCGCGATTGTACGATTGAGGGTTGGCAGGCCCTTATTCCCTTTCTGGGGTTCAGCTTTCCTTATAAGCCCCTTAAACCACAAGTGGCACCCTTTTTATTCCTAGGGTACTCTTGGGTCGGCGATGATTAGGGTACAGGTTTCGCGTTTTGAACTTGAGTCACAGATGCAGGTTTTGGGTTTCGGGAGTCAGTGGGGTTTGCAACTCCACAGCTTCGGTTCAGGGTTCTGGGGCCCAGGGCGTTTGGGATTTGGGAGTTAAGATGGTGGTACAAGGTGCTAATTGTTCCAAGGACCAGGTCGAGGGTTCCGTCCATGGAGGTCAGGGAGAGAAGGTTTGACGTGTGCTTTCGTGATTGTTCTTAAATCAGAAAATAGGAGTGCGGCGGTCCAGATTTTATTGTTCAGAGCTTGGGTTCTCAGGGTTTGGTATTGGGGGGTGGTCTTGCAGGCGTCTTGGCTGGTTGTTTTCCAGCCTGGATGGAGATTTCTGGTGATTAGATACTGGGTAGCCACCGGTTCGGATTAGGGTTCAGATTCAGCATCCTTAGCCAGTCTACCGCCAGTCTACCCCGCCCGGGGCTCCACCCCGATTGAAAGCTGCACCGAAGCGCAGGTCCTCCTTGGCGGAGGATGCCGCGGGATCTGCTGGGCACAGGCGCATAATTGCCATGAGCAGGAGGGTGCACATCTGCTCAGAAAGCATGAGCATGAAGGGTCTTGGTCGCAGCTCGCAAGAAGCATGAAATCCCTTCTCCTAGCCAGCTCTTGCTCGAGGACAATTTGTGAATCGGGAGGGTGATTCAGGGTGCTTCGCCATGGCAACTTCATCCGAGGATGTTATGAAGTCAGTGGAAAGGGCTTGCTTCAAGGCCACACCGTCCTTGTATTGGCCCAGCCTCATCCACGGGCCCTTTGTGTCATGGGTCATTTCTCGCAGGCGATCCGCGACGACCAGGAGCTGAAGCTGAAGATCTGTGACCAGAAATCCTTTCTTCTGGACGGGGCTGGACGAAAGGTGAATGCCGCCTCTGTGATCGCGAATGCTGTCACCCGGTTCAAAGACTGAGGCATGTCAATGTTGTTGCCAGCTTCTACCATCATCCACAGACGTAGAAACCCTTCTCAGGACATGCTGCAGCCGCTCATCATCGCCTGGGTGGGCCACGTGAAGTTCAATACCGTGCCCCACTTGGAGAAGATCCTCCTGCACTTGAGGGATGCCTGGGATGTCGCGGCTTGGCTTGAACCATCCGGCTAGACAGCTTGTCCAGATCGTCGTCCCAGGATGTCGGCGACAGCGACCTCAAGAAACAGGCGAAGCACTTCAAGAAGCTGCTGAATCTCCACTACGGCCACTTGGTCTTCAGTTGAGTTGATTCTCAATCTTCACAGACTCTCAGAGGCGGCTTCCGGGCTC